TCCCCAATCACCTAGCACCTTCTCTCAGCACACCCGCGCAGTCAAGAGCGGGGCAAGCAGCGGCGCGTCTGGGGGTGCGAAAGAGAGTGTTGAGACTTCTGTATTTAACAGCGCGGGTACATTCCGTGTTGCGGCGCAGAAGGGGGGTGGTAATGAGGGGGACCATGGCGTTGACAACGGGAAGGGGGGTGCAGAGCAACGGCAACAGCGGCAGCAGCAACAACAAGAGGAGCGGGAGCAGGTGTTGGAGGAGATAGAAGGAGTGGCACTGGCGTATGTGGAAGAGTCAGTCAAGGTGAGTCTGTGAGGCTGTTTTGCTGGCAAGCATAGCACATGGCAGAGGTAGCGTCACACGATAAGAACCTTTAGGTCGTATCGATCCGCCACTACACATACTCCCTCCAGCACAGCAGATCTCCCTCGTTTTCCCAGAATCACCTCACCGTGTCACGGCCCTCCGCTCCCGTTCACTTTTCCCCCACCACCCCTCCTCCAGTGCTTCCCTGCCGTCACGCCCTTTGATGCCTTTCGCCAAGGTCTGGGCGCCATAGCTCGCTGCCTTCCCCCCGGCCGCCCTGCCACTGTGCTGTGCTTCCGCCTCTTGTCCCGCCGCGTGCTCTGCCTCGTCTCTGCTGCTGCTGCGCGTTCCGCTTCTGGCGCTGCTGCTGCTGGTTCTGCCACTGCTGCAGAGGGAAGGGAAGGGAGCAAGGGCAACAGCCGGACGAAGGTGGATGGAACAGAGGCAGGGAGAGCAGGGAGTCATGGGAATGGGAGACAGACCGAAGTTGTGCAGCTAAAGGCTGGGCAGGAGGAGGTGGGGAAAAAGCAGGGTGGATTTGAAGTGGAGGCCGCCCACAGGGAGGTGGCAGCAGGGGGTGGGAGCGGCGTTTTGGAACGGAGTGGCGCAGATGGTGAGAGTGCGGTGCAAGTGGGTGATGCTGGTGGATGGCGCCAGTTGCTGCAGCTGCTGCTTCACCTCATCCCAATAGTGGATGTGCAGGTTAGTCGGTACTGACTTATCTGTACACACACGCCAGTAATGTTGTTGACGTGCAGGTAAGGAGCTATGCTGGAGCACAGGTAGAAAACCCTGCTTAGCTTCATTGTCAGTGCGAGCAACACACTCATGGCGTTGTTTCCCCCTCTTTCACTCCACCCACCCCTCCCTGCTTGCACCCATCATATTCACATCCAACCCAACATCTTCTGTCATCGTACATCTTCTAAAAGCACGTACCTGCTTCGTGTTTCGTCGATCTTTACCCACCTCCTGCCCACTGCCCACCTGAACGCGGCAGGTTCTCCCTTTGCTGCTGCAAGAGGTGGCGTCAACCTTAATGGCTATTCGCCCTGCTCCACCTCCATCAACTCAATCACATTCTCCACAGTCACAGCCGACAGCCACGGCTGAGTGCAGCAGAGAAAGGACAGTGCAAACTCATTCCCAATCCCGGCCGAAGGAGGAGCAGCAGCAGCAGAATCAGCCTGACGCTTCACATGTGGAGCAATCAAGAACAGAATCATTGACTGCAGGGAGGCAGAGCCACAACACACAAACCCTGACTGAAGCACCCGCCACCAAAGCACACCAGGCACAAGGGCACGGCGTCTCAGGGAGTTCTGAGAGGTCAGTGGGCCCTGAGGAGGAGAGCGTGAGGAGGCAGTGGCAGCAGGAAGCACTAGGGGAGCTGTACTCAGTGATTTCAGGGTGCTATGATTATGTCCGCAGGCCCATGCTCGTTGCCTTCTTCCAGACGCTCTCCTTCATGTGCAACCACTCTGGCAGTCAATCCAAGCTGTAGACAGCAGCCAGCTTTAGATTCGAAGGCATGCGTGGCCGGTTTATTGTACTGAAGTGAGGCAGTATCCATGTACCCATTCTGGCTCGCCGGGGATTACAAAATGGACATGAGAGATCTTGATCAGATTGTACCCATTTGCTTCCTTTGTGACCTTGTGTGCTGACCTCCGATCTGGTAATGGAGGACAGGTATCACTAACAGCTCTGTTCAGAACTGGTATCAAAGGCAACCTTTGGACAGGCAGAGTGTGGCATTATGGACCAGGGGAAAAATTGCTGAATTTTACAGTATTCAAATAATGCTGGACTGATGCATGCAAAAACAGGGTAGGCAAGGAGCCGTCTACTTTTGGCCGAAGAGGCTCTTGAGGCTCTTGGCAATGGCCTCCAGCGCATTCTCAGAGCGCGCCTCTTCCTTCTCATCATCGCTCCCTGCGTTGCGCTGCCCAGAGATCTTGATCGCGTTAGCTATACCCCACCCGTCACGCTCGCCAATACCCTGCGACACTGACTGCGACGTCTGCTTGTAGCTCGCGCCACCACCGCTGCCGCCCTGCCCTGTGGCGTCGTCCAGGCCTCCCTCTCCCTTGGGGCCTGTGGGTGGATGGAGATGTTGGGGAATAAGAGCCTTACTTGATTAACCCAATACCACGAGAAAAACGTACGGGGTGGTGGCTTGCCAAATGATTTCGTTACTGCCATGATACTTCAGTTGACGCAAAGACGTTGAGATCGCCCTATAGTGAAGATTAAGACGCAGGCACCAGCTCAAAAAGCGTGCATGTTTTGTGTGCTGAACCTCAAGACATCGGATGGGCAAATTGCACTGCCTTCGACCCCTGCTGCATTCCCTCTTCTGCAGTGCCTATGATAGCTGGCAGCACCCTAGACCAGCAGCAGCAGCAGCAACAGCTAGCGTTGGAATTCCAACTCATAGTTGCACAGGTAGTGTGGCGGATGAGGGTTGCTACAAATTGGTGAAACTCCTGCCATACCTCTACTCAATGCTTACCTGACGGGCGGGCACTCACCAATGGGGTTGAGCATGTGACCGATCTGCCCGTCCTTGTACTCATACGCCGCCAGCTTCACTGGAGCCTCTAGCAGCGGCCGTACCTACACGCATCGATTTGGCAGACACCAACACGAGCGGAAAAAACATTGTGAGGTTCAATTACACATCCGCACGAAAAGAGAATTCGAGATGAAAGCAGAGAGAACCGCGAGCAACCAACATAGCAGAGATAAGAAATTGGAGGAGCACCGAGGGTACAGAGGGGAGGAAAATGACTGACCTCTTCAAGGAACTTGGTGTAGTCTGGCGACGCGTGGAGGTTGTTCATTGAAAGGAACGAGTCGAATCGCTCCCAGAAGTGAATCAAATTGCTCTCGTACGCATCGCCTGTGCACTCGAAATGGATAATTCCGTTCGCGCTGTCCTTCTGGGGAAGGGAGGAGGAGAACGAGAGAACAGGTCAAACGCGTTACACTCCACAATGACAATTACATGCACTCAAGCACGCGACGTTTAGAAAAGCGCATATGCCAAAACAGGCGGGAAAAGAACATGCAAGAAATAATCAGCCAGGCCTAGAATTCTAAAATTCTGTTTCTCCCTCACCTTCTTCTCCTCCGCCCATTGGCAGATCTTCTTGCACAGCTCCTGCGCTTCCTTCTCCTTGCCTGGGGTCACCTCCAGCGTCGAGCTGAGCACCAGCGAGCGGCCCGATTGAACCCTCTTCGCCGCGAACACGCCAAGCCTGCGGTACGACAGGGACGCTGGAACAGCAGCGGCCGAAGCACCGACAAGAACCAGGGAACGACCCACGACCTCGGAGCGTCTGCATGCAAGTGACCGTTGCGCAGACGGGGTCAGGCTCGTCCTCAGAGAAACAGCAGACGACTCTGACGCGCGGCTGCCGGAAGCAGCTGCGGTGGAGTCCAGACGAGCGGTAGCTGGCCCCGCCATTGAGAGCTGAACTGAAGCGGCCATTTTCGTGGCTGAATTCCTTCGATTCCTTCAAAATTTCTGCTTCGACGATTCGCGAAGAGTCAGAATGAGCAGCAGCTCAGGAAGTGCGAAGCCTGAGTTACTCTCCGAGACCTTGTAACAAAACTAGGTGAGAATTCGACCAAAATGTCTTGATTCTGTGGAGCGAGGAGGGAGCAGGGGAAAGAAAGGCTCGAGGTGAACAGTTCGGGATGAGGAAGAAAGAGGTCAGCTTGCACATTGTTCCAGGTACACGATACGTGCCACGTGGAACGGGATCCCCCACGCTAAACCAACGGCGCGAGGGAACATTGAAGCGGTGAGGGTCACGAAGGTGGTGCCACGAGGGCAGCCGACAGTTTACCTTGACAAATGGGGCCCAATTACTGGCTGTGGGATTGCGAAATCGACAAGTTCACGGATAGAGCAGTCAACGAGCCCTAGCGATTGGCGACAGTATTGTGACATTGTTGTGTATAATTCTGAGATAGGCGCGCAAGTGTAGCTACATCCTCAGCATTCATAGATTTGAGAGGCCCTAATATTTCAAACGAAACGGTTAATAAATGTATCATGAAAACAGCTTGGATTCTTGACATCGTCTAAATTCTTGATTATATTTTTATTTTTTCGATTATGAATTCCACTGGGGAATGGGCATAAGGCGTAATAGTTGACACGCGCCTCAATATTGACAACATTTTTTTCATATAATTTTAGCATGATTCAAACATTATGCTGCAGAAATTTATACAAAAGCATTTTCATATTAAGTGTAAACACTCGACTTAAATCGTTTACTTCAGATTTCAACATACCCCTTTATCCTTCCTCGGAAGATTCTGTACACCGAATGTAACACTGCCACTCCAACTTTCTCGTCGAACCTCTCGCCAATTAGACGAACTTGCGAACGTGGTACGAAGTCATCTCGTCAACTCATTGGCGAAATTCCCCTGTCAAACTCGGCAATCCCCCCAATTCGCCTTGTGTTGTGATTTTCTCTTCAGACTTGTTCTGTCAGTCACAAACCCCAAGACACAAGTTTCCCGCCCACCGCTAACTGACTCCAGCACCTTTCCTGCACAATACCCCACTAAACAGCTTCTTCGGCCGTTGCTCAGGGAACGAGCCGCGCCGTTCGAATTCGCGGGCTTTTTGTCCACGTCACAAGCGCGAGTAGATTATCAAAGTTGGTGTTTTCACCCCATGCTCGTTATCCAATCAGCCTATGTGGGTCCAACCCAATGACTTGGCCCAATCACAGCTACGCTCATCTTGTTGTGTGATCTGCAGTGATCCATGCTGGCATCTTCAGGACCACCATTGAAACCAGCAAGGCATTCTCGAACCGCAATTTCCTTTCCACCACAGAACTCGTGTAGGTCACTCAGATCCACAGGCAAACTCCGAAAGGCGTCTGTTCGTTTCGGAATTTCGGCTTGTTTCCGCCGCCTTTCACACGTTCTTGCCAAAGAACAAACTTGGCTTGGGTGTTCGCCCCGCAATTCAACCCATTCGCCCGGTTTCGACGTCGCCACCAGTCAGCCTGATCTGCATCACTTGGTCACGTCTGCTATGAAGGACGACACTTATTCGACCACTCACTGGGTGTTAGCACGTTCGCCTACCAACACATCGCTTTTTTCATCAGGTAATACTGTCAAGTGAACTTATATTTTGTTTAGCAGCTTTCGTCAATTTTTTTCCACACGGGGTGCTGACAATGGCTATTGTTCTGCTTATGTGCAGAAAATTCTGGTAACCAGCGGTGGAGCTTACGGAGATCTGCAAAGGGTTTCAGCCAACGGCAATCTGGCAATTTGTTGTTACGTACAGTTTCCTCTCACCTTAAATGTAAGCTCTCGTAGTTCAGCAATTCTCGCATGACTCGTTTACATCCCTTTGCTGACATGTTTTTTATGAATCTTTGCAGGTTATTAAGTACACGCTGCTACACTCTCCTAAGGACCTTAAAGGAGCATCAACGCCTCAGTACGCTTCCACATTTGTTGACAGTAAAGGTTGAAGTATCAACCTTAGCCACCACCACCGCAGAGCCTTTCCCTGGTATTCAGGTTTGGTAAGGTGAAGGTGTTTGGTAAGGTTCCCTGTAGGTGTGTTTTTGGTACCTGGCTCTGCGGTTAGGTGGCTGGCATCAGGTCTGTTTTCACATTTCTTGCATAGTCCGTTTTATTGCATGATTTGTTTACTTCGATTCTACTGACCTGATTTTTTTCCGTCATTGCAGGCTATATCAGAGGACGTAAAGGGAGCCAACGCCTTCAGAGCTCTTCCACGCTTCATCAACGGCGGCAGAGGGGAGCAGCTCCACATTTGTTGACGGTAAAGGTTGAAGTATCAACCTTAGCCGCCACCACCGCAGAGCCTTTCCCTGGTATTCAGGTTTGGTAAGGTAAAGGTGTTGGTAAGGTTCCCTGAAGGTACGTTTTTGGTACATGGCTCTGCGGTTAGGTGGTTGGCATCAGGTTTGTTTTCGCATTTCTTGCTTAGTCCGTTTGATTGCATGATTTGTTTACTTCGATTTTACTGACCTGCTTTTTTTTCCTCATTGCAGGTTATACCAGAGAAGTTAAGGAAGCCAACGCCTTCAGACCTCTTCCACGCTTCATTAACGGCGGCTGAGGGGAGCAACTCCATTGTTGGCATCAGGTTGTTTTCACCCTTCTTTCTAAGTCCGTTTTATTGCATGTTTTGTTTACTTCGATTTTACTGACCTGCTTTATTTTCCTCATTGCAGGTTTATATCAGAGGACGTAAAGGGAGCCAACGCCTTCAAAGCTCTTCCACGCTTCATCAACGGCAACAGAGGGGAGCAGCTCCAGATTTGTTGACGGTAAAGGTTGAAGTATCAACCTTAGCCACCACCACCGCTGAGCCTTTCCCTGGTATTCAGGTTTGGTAAGGTAAAGGTGTTGGTAAGGTTCCCTGAAGGTACGTTTTTGGTACATGGCTCTGCGGTTAGGTGGTTGGCATCAGGTTTGTTTTCGCATTTCTTGCTTAGTCCGTTTAATTGCATGATTTGTTTACTTCGATTTTACTGACCTGCTTTAATTCCCCCATTGCAGGTTATACCAGAGCAGTTAAGGAAGCCAACGCCTTCAGACCTCTTCCACGCTTCATTAACGGCGGCTGAGGGGAGCAACTCCATTGTTGGCATCAGGTTGTTTTCACCCTTCTTTCTAAGTCCGTTTTATTGCATGTTTTGTTTACTTCGATTTTACTGACCTGCTTTATTTTCCTCATTGCAGGTTTATATCAGAGGACGTAAAGGGAGCCAACGCCTTCAGAGCTCTTCCACGCTTCATCAACGGCGGCAGAGGGAAGCAGCTCCACATTTGTTGACGGTAAAGGTTGAAGTATCAACCTTAGCCACCACCACCGCAGAGCCTTTCCCTGGTATTCAGGTTTGGTAAGGTAAAGGTGTTGGTAAGGTTCCCTGAAGGTACGTTTTTGGTACCTGGCTCTGCGGTTAGGTGGTTGGCATCAGGTTTGTTGTCACATTTCTTGCTTTGTCCGTTTAATTGCATGATTTGTTTGCTTTGATTTTACTGACCTGTTTTATTTTCCTCATTGCAGGTTATATCAGAGGACGTTAAGGAAGCCAACGCCTTCAGAGCTCTTCCACGCTTCATCAACGGCGGCTGAGGGGAACAACTCCATTTTTGGCATCAGGTTGTTTTCACCCTTCTTTCTAAGTCCGTTTTATTGCACGATTTGTTTACTTCGATTTTACTGACCTGCTTTATTTTCCTCATTGCAGGTTTATATCAGAGGACGTTAAGGGAGCCAACGCCTTCAGAGCTCTTCCACACTTCATCAACGGCAACAGAGGGGAGCAGCTCCACATTTGTTGACGGTAAAGGTTGAAGTATCAACCTTAGCCACCACCACCGCAGAGCCTTTCCCTGGTATTGAGGTTTGGTAAGGTAAAGGTGTTGGTAAGGTTCCCTGAAGGTACGTTTTTGGTACATGGCTCTGCGGTTAGGTGGTTGGCATCAGGTTTGTTTTCGCATTACTTGCTTAGTCCGTTTCATTGCATGATTTGTTTACTTCGATTTTACTGACCTGCTTTAATTTCCCCATTGCAGGTTATATCAGAGAACTCAAGGAAGCCAACGCCTTCAAAGCTCTTCACGCTCATCAACGGCGGCTGAGGGGAGCAACTCCACTGTTGGCATCAGGTTGTTTTCACCCTTCTTTCTAAGTCCGTTTTATTGCATGATTTGTTTACTTCGATTTTACTGACCTTTATTTTCCTTGTTGCAGGTTTATATCAGAGGACGTTAATGGAGCCAACGCCTTCAGAGCTCTTCCACGCTTCATCAACGGCGGCAGCTCCACATTTGTTGACGGTAAAGGTTGAAGTATCAACCTTAGCCACCACCACCGCAGAGCCTTTCCCTGGTATTGAGGTTTGGTAAGGTAAAGGTGTTGGTAAGGTTCCCTGAAGGTACGTTTTTGGTACCTGGCTCTGCGGTTAGGTGGTTGGCATCAGGTTTGTTGTCACATTTCTTGCTTAGTCCGTTTTATTGCATGTTTCATTCTTCAGTTCACTGATTCTACTTTGATCTCTTTTTCATATTTCATTTCAGGGGGGGAAGTTTCAGCCGCTCGTTTAAAACAGCAGAAGTATTTTCTAGTCTCCGTCTATCTAGCTGAGCCTGTGTGTTCATGAATGTATGAATGATCTGGATTCATACCATTTATAAACCGTCATGATGCTATCTGATTATCTGAATAACAGCATGCTTTTCATTAGGATATTAAAGATAGTTTGGTTGACTCCGGAAGTACCGGTACCACTATTGCTGCACTATAATGGAGGTGAAGTTAGTGTAATTAGTTAATAAACTGCTCTTGTATAAGTACTCCATTACAGTACCCCAAGTATTTACAGCTTGTGTAAGTGACCTAACATGCACCAAAGAATGAAAGAATAGTGTGATGTGATGCTCTACATGGGCCTGTGCTGGGTTGGCATGCACTTGTTTCTCCATACGGTAGGTGTTACATCTCCAACTCTCCTGTGTATGCATCAGCCATGTGCGCCTGCAGTCCCAACAAGAGTCGGGATTCAGCATTGACAAAAGATGGGGAAATTTTACAATCCATCCGTAATTCAAGACATTAGCTTATAGAAAAGGAAAACATCTTAACCTGAAATTGTGGGTGCAGAGTTGCCTTGACATGTGCCCAGAAAGAAGAACGGTGGCCCAAGCTGTTAATAAGAACACGCCCAGTCAATCAGGTGTTATGGCGAGCAAGACAAGTTGATGAGATGAATGTAATGGTGATGAGATGCAAGTCATGTTGATGAGATATGGTAATGTCACAAAATCATGTACAACAACAGTTGGACAGAAAAAGGGCAGAGACAGAAAAAAAACTGGAAAGGAAGAGAGAGAGAGAAAAGAGGAAAGCTGAAACCTGTTAATTGCCTTGATGACTGCATGTGCCTCTTCCAAGTCTCGCTGAGTGATTCGATTGAGATACTCCAACAGTAACCCCACACATTGCCTTGTCTCCTCCCATGCCTCCTCCTCCCCATCCCCTTCCAACCTTGCCCCATTATCTCCCCAAGCTGGTGCTGCAAACTGCTGCTCCTTCTGCACTGCCGGCTGCATGCCCCTACTCAGCAACCGGTTTAATCTGAAGAGGTACGAGGAGAGCTGCAGAGACCGCGACGGGAAGAGAAGGCGAAGAGAGGAAGAGGAGGAAGAGGGCTGCATGGATGTCAGACAGCATGCCACAGCAGAGGCCTCGTGCGGTGAGGGCTCATGGGTTCGAGCAGGAGTCGTAACATGAGACGTTGAGGTGGAGGGCAGGGAGGCAAGTGGCCGGTGCAAGGCTTGGAGTAGGAAGTTGTGCCATATAAGATGTCCTGATGATTCTGTGCCTGCGGCTGTGGATGCAGCTGCGGCAGTTGCTGTTGCTGCTGCTGCTAATGCTGATGCTGCTTCTTTCGCTCCACTGTCCACTACAACTTGCCCCTCCATGGCAGCTACTGCACCCTTCCCATCCTCCTGCTCCGCACCCCCCACATGCATCCCATCATCCCCACATATGCCAGAAACCATACTGCCATGCGCCTCCCTTTCCGTACCTCTCCCCCTTACCTGCACCAAAGTGTTGCCTTCACTCGCCCCACCACCTCTGGCTTCCCCCATCGATAAAACGGCACGGGTTGCGCAACATGCAGCACCACAAGCCACGCCACGTGCAGCACTACAAGCAGCACGACCTGCACCAGCACAAGCAGCAGTGCCCTCATTCAACCGCCCTGGCTCTGTTTCCTCACACGCCCCGGCACTGGCGCACTGAGCCCTCCTCGTGCTATTATGCTCCCGCTCGTGCACCCTAGCTGCTCCCAGGCTGGCCAGAATCTCCCGCTGCAGCGAGGGAGAGAGCTCAGCAAGCACTGAAGGGTCGATCTGAGACAGGGACAACCCCACATGCTGCACACCTGCACCAGGCGTTGCTGCCTCTACTGCTGCCGCCTCTCCTGCCTCTACTGCCGCTCCTGCCAGTGCTGGGTCTACTGGGTCTGTTCTTGATGAAGCTCCACCAGCATGCAGCTCCGAACCCACCCCAGCTGTACTGCTCGACTGCCTTGCCACCACTGAAGCAGGCCCCGATCCACCCACAGATCTTCCCTGCAACGGCCCTGGTGACACTCTCAGCTCACCCCTTCCTGCCCTACCCCTCCCTCTCCCTCTCCCTCGGCCCCTGCCCCGCCCCCTTCCTCTTCCTCTGCCTCGTCCTCTCCCTCCACCACTATCCCCCCCTTGCTCTACAAAACTTCCCCCAACACTTCTCCCCGAAGCTCCAGTATCCTGTACCCCCCGCACCTCGCCTTCTAAGTGAAAACGCATGCGGGAGTCGGCATGAGAGAGAGGAACGGAACAGGCGGAGGAAGCAGGGCGCGCAGCAGAGACGGAGGCCTGATGAAGGGGTGCAGATGACAGCTGCTGCTGCCCCTCGGGTGGTGCTGTTCGTTCGGGGGTTGCACGGGGGAACATGGAGAGGAGAGTGGTCTGCTTTTGCCTCGACCCAGTCTGCTGCTCCTCCTGCTGCCTGTTGTTCCTTGATCCCTCCATATGCGATCCTGATCTGCTGCGTTGCTTCCCTTGCCGTTGCCTTTGCCGTTGCTGTTGCTGCTGCAGCTTCAACGTTGCACTTTGAGACGAGTGCTGAGATGCGGAGGGCTGAGATGCGTCTGCTGTGGCAGCTGAACCGGAATGACAAGGCACCAGCACATGCTGCCGTGGGTTCTGCATGTGGTGTTGCTGCGCGTGCTGCTGCAGCTGCTGTCTTTCCTGCTGCTGCTGTTGCTGCTTGTACGAGCTCTCCAGTTCTCGCTTCAAAGGCAGTGGTAGGGCATCAAGGAACGAAGCATCCCACTGCCAGGTAGCGAGGATGCAAAATCACGTGCAACATTTGCACAAACTGTAAGCACAAGAGTAAGCACAAGCGAAGGAAACACAAGCAAGGTATTGCAGGACATGCGATGCCATGCCATGTGACACTTCCAGCCAGAGAAGAAAGCCACGCGATTAAAGCCGTTCCCATCCAAACAGAACAGAATCAAACATGGTTTGGCTCAGTTCAAACGTACCTGCGACATTGGTGGGAGCACATGTGCTGAATCATCCACCCTCCTTGCAAAGCCATGCTGACTAACAGCTGCTGCTTCTACGCCACCCGCCTCTCCTCTCCCTTCAAACCTCTCTCCCCCATTGCATCTGCTACTCGCACCATTATTCCTTAGGGAGCTGTCGCATGGCTCTGTGACTGCGCCCACCCCTCTGGCACCACACACCACCTCATCCTCCATGACACTCCCTTGCACTTGCTTCTCCGCAACCACCTTGCGCCCCATGCGCATCACTGCATCTTCTTGCGATTGCGATTGCGATTGCATCACCCGATCCCCACCCACCAGCCTTTCTCCAATCATGCCACCTTGCCTACCAACATCTGCTCTTGCCACCACTGCTTCTGTCACTTTCCCCTTCTCCTCCGCCTCCTCCCCCTGCCACTCCTGTTTCATGTTCACCTCTTGCTCCTCATGCTTTCTCTTCTTATCCTCATCATGCTCCTCCTGCTTCCCTTGCTCCTCCTGATTCCTCCTCTCCTCCTGCTCCTCCACCTCTGATTCCACTTCCTCCAGCCTCTCCTCCTTAACCATTTTATTGTCCATACCAACTCTATATCGCAAATCCACACCCTTCCACTCCCGTTCCATACCTTCCTCCTCCTTCAACGCCCCTTCAGTCCGCTCCCAAACCCCACGCCCACTCCCCTTCTCCCCATCCCCTTCCACGCCTACCAGCCCTCCCCTTTCCCCTGCCACTTCTCCTTTCACCTCCTCTCCATCCTCCTCCTCATGCCTCTCCTCCTCCACCTCTCTCCTCTGTAACATTGAAACCCTTGACTTCTTACACACCCTCTCAATACTCCCAAACGCCCCACATCCTAGCCCCTTCCCCCCAACAGGCTCCAGCCTATAAACCTGCAAACCGACCCCCCTCACATCCACCGCATTCGCCCCAACCGCCAAAAACAGTGCCCGGGCAGCCCGAAAAAGAGCGTTCGGGTCCGCAGTAGCAGCAGGCCCTAGACTCCTAGACCGACTGTAGGTGTCGCAGCGACCGTGCCCCATGAACTTGAGAGGCTCCACGGGTTCCCCTTTCGCCCGTACCATCACCTTCACACACACCGACCGCCCCGCCACACCCGCTGCATCCAACCGCCCACACACCTCCCCCACCAAGTCCCGCAGAAACTTCTCCGCGTCTTCCTGCCCCCGGAACCGCACCCCCCAGTTAACATCGGCGCCTATGCTCTTCCTTGCAGCAGCCACAGGCGCTTGCTGCTGATTGTTCTTACCCTTACCCCCTGCCGGCACAACAGCCCGATCGTCCATGCCTCGGGCATAGCGCCACAGCATGTCCCCCGTCTTGACCCCGTGCTCTGCCTGGAGAGAGGCGCGGGAGAGGGCGCGCAGGTCCCCACACGTGTGGATGGAGGCGGCGTGCAGCTTGGAGGAGAGCACCCAGCCCACGCCATGCAGGTCCGACACTGGCAGGTCGTGCAGGAAGTCCAGCGCCTGGGGGATGAGATGGGAGGGATGGGATAGATGAGAGGGATGCGAGGGATAGACCAATAGACCAACCGATAGACCAATAGACCAACCAATAGACCAATAGACCAATAGACCAATAGACCAATAGACCAATAGACCAATAGACCAATAGACCAATAGACCAATAGACCAATAGACCAATAGACCAATAGACCAATAGACCAATAGACCAATAGAAAAATAGACCGATAGACCAACCAATAGACCAATAGAGCAACCAATAGACCAATAGACCAACCAATAGACCAATAGACCAATAGACCAATAGACCAATAGACCAATAGACCAATAGACCAATAGACCAATAGACCAATAGACCAATAGACCAATAGACCAATAGACCAATAGACCAATAGACCAATAGACCAATAGACCAATAGACCAATAGACCAATAGACCAATAGACCAATAGACCAATAGAACAACCAACAGGCCAACCAACAGACCAATAGACCACCAACAGACCAATGAATAGACCAATAGAAATGGAGGATGAGGTCGTAAAGTCATAAATGAAGGTCATAAGGGAAACAAAGCATAGAGAGGACGGTAGAATGGAAGCGAAATTGTGCTGGTGAAATCAAAGCACCTTGTCCTTGGTGATGCGGAACTGCCCATTGGGCTTGGCTTTCCGCGTGGCGACTCGAGCAAGCATGATGTTGTGCGCGATGCCAGCGCTGGCAGTGCACCTTGTTCGCGCCTCTATCTCCGCCCGCATGCGCGCCACCACCGCCTCAGGGTCTGCTGCTGCTGCTGCTGCTGCTCCTGCTGCAGTGCTGCTGCTGCTGGTGCTGGTGTTACTGATCGGTGGGAGCTCCAGCAGGGCTTCATCGCAACTAAGACACTGGACCACAGGGGCGTAGCGATGCAGAATGGCGTACACCTGATGGTGGAAAGGACAAGGCAAGACCAAAAGAAAGGGAAGCAAGGAAGGAAGGGAGGGAGGGAGGGAGGGAGGGAGGGAGGGATGGGCAAAACAAATGTACAGAACATGGTGACAGACGAGATGAGATTGCACGAGGATCCTGGCCTAGCTAAGGATAGAATAGGTGCCAAGACACCGGTCCGCACTTGCACTCACCTCATCCGCCACCCGTTCATACGCCTCAAAGTCATAGGGCAGCAGCTGCAGCTGTGGGCAGCGGCGCCTGGCCTCGCGCAGGAACATGCCCGCGCGCACCCCAAACGCACGCGCGTCATAGCTCGCTGATGACACCTCCGCCGTGCCCCCTGCTACCGCCGCTGCTGCCACCACTGCTGCTGGTGCTGCTGCTGCAGTGTTGCCTCCTCCACCTCCTGCTCCAACTCCCACTCCCAAGCCACCCGCGTCTGCAGCACCTGCTGTGGAGTGAGCAGCAGCAGGGGCATTCCTCCCTGCACGCCTGCCCCTGCCACCATAGCACACAGCAACGGGCTTCCCTCGGAGGTGCGGGTGGGAGAGCAGCGAGACAGCCACAAAGAAACAGTCCATGTCTACATGCACCACCACCCGCTCCACCTGCTGCTCCTTGCCAGGCTTATAAGCTTCCACGCCCTCCTTGCTGCCTGCACCCGCCTTGCTTCCCGCACCCGTTTCTGCATTCCATAATGCGCCGGTGTGAGGCATGTATCGCTCAAGGGCCATTTCCTCCTTGTCGCCTTCCTCAGGTTCCTCCTCAGCTCCTGTCCCCCGTCCTGCCTCCTCTGTCCCCTCTGCTCCATCGCCTGTTGCTCTTGCTGCAGGTGGCCGGTAGCGGTTGCGCCAGGACCCTATGAAGTGCAGCCGCGAGTGCTAGTCACAGCCATACGAGACACAGACGGACAAACGGACGTAAGTAGACGCTCTTGAAGCATACACCGCAAAGGAACAGGATGGCACACAAGAGCACACAGACACACAGTAGCAAAAGTAGCCTTGAAATAGAAAGAAACCGAACAGTCTTATCCATAGACCCAACGGAGAAGCTCCCCCCCCCCCACTTTCCCATTCCTCTGCTCACCCGAAAGTAGTTCTGCACGAAGTTGGGGTCCGTCTGTGTGCTGTGCGCCCGCCCTCTCCCACTGCTGCTCGCCCTCCCCTGCCCCACCACCCTCTCCACCCCCGTCCCCACCACACTGCTGCCCTTCTGCCCAGGCCCTCCCTCCACCTCCACCTTCACACTGTCCTGCTGCGCCTTATCCCCACTCCCCGCCCCCATCCCCCCTTGACCCTCCGCTCCTGCTGCATCCCGCTCTGCCGCACCACCCTGCCCTGCACCACCCTGCCCTGCACCACTCTGCCCAGACCCCGCACAATGGCTCTCAGTCCCAGAAGCACCACGCCAGCCTTGCCCACTGTCGTCCCTCGCCCATTCTGCCCCGCTGTCTACTCTGTCCTCCATCTTGGCAACCACCCCGCCTGCACCCAGGGGTTCTTCCGCACTGCCCTCTCCCCTTGCCTCCCTCGGCGGCACTGCACGCTTGCTGGTACCCACCCGCGCATCAGTGCAGATGCCACTGCCCGGGCCGCACACAGTTGTCCCGCCTGCACTCCCAGCATGCCCTGCTGCACTCCCAGCATGCCCGCCTGCACTCCCAGCATGTGGTGCTTCAAATTCCACCTTTGCTGCCACACCAGCCCGCACGCTCTTCACACCGTTCCATCCATCCACCACAGCAGCCTCCCCTTCCCCTCTCAGCACACCACTTCCACGCGCATCCTCCGCTTCTGACATAACCCCAACCTGCTCCACCTCGCCCCCTGTTCGTGCCTCCCTCTCATTGTCCTTACCATTTTCCTTTCCTGCTCCCATCGCCTCATCCTTGACAATTACTCCACTCAACACACCACACTTAACCACTGAACATTGCACTCTACTCCTTTCGCCCCCTTCCTTCTCTCCGTTCCCGATCCCCCCACACTCCTCCTCCCCCTTCTCTCGCTTCCTCATCCTGCACGCTTCCTCCACAGCAGCCCAAACCTCCTCCTCCATCTCCTCTGGAAACTCTGCCCACACATCCTTAACTCTTCGCTCTCCTCCCTGCTCTCCCTGCTCTCCCTGCCCTCCCTGATCGCCCTCCCCTCCCTCTCCTCCCATCTTACCCACCTCATCTCTCCCTCCAATTTTGTCCGCATCACTCACACCGTCCTTCTTTCCAGCAGCATCCCCACAGACGCCATCCCATGCACCCATCTCCAGCTTCCTCCCCGCACATCTCCCATCTCCCATCCCCACCCCGCACACATCACCCATACCTGCTTTCTTAACATTACAACAGGACAATTCTTGAGGCGCCTTAACCTTGGTCATGGCATCACCATACACGCACTCACCCAACCAGTCACCCCATGCTGCACCTGCCTTTTCATCCCCCACCTCCTTTTTTGCACCCTCTGCCATCCGGTCTGCAGCCTCTGCCTCTGCCCACCCGTCTTGCTTCTCTCTCCCCCCATCCATACGTGTGCCCCATACACCCCCTTGATCAATCACAGTTGCCTGTGTTCTGGCACACGCTGCTGCTGCTGCCACTGCCCCTGCCTCTGCGTCTGCTGCATGCAAGTCTAGCCCGTGGGTCAGGCAGGGGGTGCAGGGTGCAAAAGCAGTCCCAGTAGAACCGACGGTAGCAGCTGCGTTGGCAGCAGAACCAGCAGGCGCAGCGGCAATGGCAAGAGGTGCAGATAGAGAAACCTGATTCGCAGGAACAGCAGCAATGCGAGCAGGAGAGTGCGAGGACGAGGGTTGGGGTGCGGTTTTAGCGCGGAAGAAAGTAGAGGGGAGGGTCTTCTGATCTGGATGGTCCAAGGCCAGGCGACGCAGCAAGAATGAGCCCACTGAGGAAACGGGGGTGAAGGTTGGGAGGAGGGGTGGAGGACGGGAGGGAAAGGGAGGAAATGGATGATGGGGGGGAAGCAAGTTAACGGATGAGAATGGGGAAAAACCAAGGAGCGAACTGTGGGGTTGCTGAAACGGAAATAGACTAACAGCAGATGAGGGAAACTTGACCTGGAATGATAAAGGCCCAAACGAACTTCCAAAAGAGCACCTTTAGCGCACGACAACTCAGTGAGACTAGAGGCTGCACAGCACAGGGGTGTGTGTGATGGCGAGGCTTACAGGGAAGCAGTCTGTTGGCATGGATGCAGGCAACAACCCAGTTGGGGTGCACAACAGGAGGCAGGGTACGCGACCTGGTGTGCCGTGACGTACCAACACATGAATGCACGAATACACACGGAGACAGACAACAAACAAAGACAGGGAGGGAGGGAGTGTGACCACGGCTTGGGCATGAGCAACATAACCACACCTTTTCTCACCACAACTACATTAAGCTGCTTCCTTGTAGCAACCCTTCCCGTTACCCCCTCTCCCTCTACCCCCTATCTCCCCCTCTTCCCCCACCTCTCCCCACCTCCTCCCAGCTGAAAGGAGAGGAGGGCACACGGGAGAAGCGGAGGAACGGTAGGTAAGATGCATACTTGCGGAACTGGACGAGCTTGGTGTCTGCAAAGTTGGCGCAGATGATGTGCGTGACGCGGGAGGCGTGGTAGTAGTTCTCAAACACACCTCCATGCACCAGCATCAGCTGCCGTAGCTCCTGGTGGGAGGCAGACGGGCAGGCAGGCACCGTGGAAAGAGAGTGAGAAAGAGAGAAAGAACCGCCAAGGGGGTCATGAACAGAGGTCTTAAATAGACTTACGGCCGCAAGAGAAAGCGGACCACAGGAGAACACGGCACGGCACAAAACATGGCCCACACCACAGAGAACAGCACAGCGAGGATAGGAAAGGAGGCGGGCATGCACAGTAGGACAGGCATGCACGCACACACGTGTCAGTGTAACGCACCTGGTGTGTGGGCTGCGTGTATCCATTCACCCAGATGACCACTCCTTCAAACAGGCGAGACGCAATGCTACCCGATGCACCGCTCTGCACCCCTTGCAACGCTGCTTCACCAGCCCCCGCTCCCTCATTCTTTTCATAGCCCACATTGCCGCCACTCACTCCGCCCTGCCATGACTCCACATGCCGCGCATCACCAGCTACCATGCCCGCCTTGCTCGCCGCATCCTCCCCTTCCCAACGTGTACCTGCCCAACCCTCATCTGGAACCCTGGGATCACATGGCACATGCCAGCCACCATCCAGTTCAACCTCCCCTCCGTTTCCACTAGCACCAACACCGCCAGCACCATAAGCAGCAGCAGTAATGGCAGGCACCTGCCCAAGTGCCTTTATGCTGTCAGGCAAAGGTTCATGAGGAGTCCAGCCTGCACCAGGTACAGCCGGTTTGGGAGCAGCGAAGCTGTGCAGAGAGGCGAGCTGCTGGGACGAGACTGGCACGTGGGATGGCAGCTGTGGTTGCCTGCCAGCCAGTCACCATGAACGGTGATGTACAGGCACATATGAGGAGATGAGGAGGAAACCACGAATTAAAAAAGCCGGAAGTCAGGCTGATTGAGCATGGCCGCGAACATATCATAACGAAGAAAAGTGTTATGCAACGCACTTGGAAAAACACACTCCCATGCGCAGATAGGTCCATAAACCATCTCGAAACGGAAATGAAAAGCCAGGTCTTGCCTGGTCACTTACCAGAGCAGGCCGGCAGCTGCCTCCCCCTCAAACTGCAGGCGAAGCTTGCGATTCTTCTCGTGCATGTACCTGGCGCACGCACACGCACAGAAATTAGGCATGAGACCGTGGGGCAGTAGATCGAGAAACATTGCCTTCAGGCCAGATGAGCCCAACAATGTTCAGCAACAGAAAACCTACGCACTCGCTCCAGCTAGCGGAAACCAATCTCAATACCAATCTCAATATCTCGCACTTCCCCCTGCTCTGCGCACAACACACGAATACCGATCACGCCACGCACCTGCCGAAATCGCTACCCCAGACACCCTTCTTCTCCTCCTCCCTCTTCCTCTTCTTCTCCCACTCGCGCAACCTCTCCTTCTCCGCCTCCTTTCTCTCCTCCGCCAACTCCCGCTCCCGCTCGCTCCCCCCCGCTCGTTCCAGCAGCCGCACCAGAGGCCCAGGCGCGGCAGGCCTGCGATCCGCATCGCTGGTCCGTGGAGATCGAGCGGACCAGATCGTGCCTGATCTAACCTGGTCGTCCATTCTGCTGCGCCCGCTACCATCCCAGCGTCCACTTCCCAACCTGTGTTCAAGCTCATTCTCGCGCAGGTAGCTTCCGCGTGTACAGTCTCCGCTTGCCTCTATGGTTTTGACGAACGAACTGCTGGCAGGTGATAGATGACCAGACATTGATGAGTATTTTTCTGTGATAATGAATGCGTCAGCTGCAAGAGAAGATGGTTCCCATCGAAAGCTGACTCATTACTATGACCTATTTCCATGCTAACCGTCGCCAGTTAAACCAGGCATACCAACCGTTTCTAAGGGAAGTGATTTTGCAGGAACCGACGACATCGGGACATCGAAAGCTTCTGGATAAACCTTGTCGAAACTAACTACGTAAGCGAATCAGCATGTAGGAATGGCTAGGAACGTCCTACCTAGTACGCACGATTGCTGGTAATGACAGGCGATAACTTGGTAGTTGTGAAGCGTATTAATTACGCATTGTGCCTGATCTGCAAACGCCTGGGCAGGAACGCAGATGAGATGATGTGCGTTTGGGGAAATTGGGGCTACACTAATAGTTGGATGTAAGTTCAAAAGAATGAAAGCTGTGTAAGAATATGCCGTGTACGCGATATTATGATTGTTCACCAGTATCACACTCGTTAATGCTGGTGACCTGGCACGGCAAGGGACCTTGACCGATTGACTGGCGGTTTGAGAATGGTCTTGATTCCGCGCACGTCCAACCAAAGTGAGACCCCTCCTCATCGCAACCGCGCAACCGCGCAACCTCTAGAAGTGGAGCCTCTGTTTGCGCGGTGGGGGAAGCGAAGATGGGCCGGGCGGAGATCATTCGGCTGTTCGGGCACACAACCGTTGTTCCGCCAAGCAAACACCCCCTCACAATCAGGAAACTTCTGCCGAGGCATCCTGGGGTACAGTACTGCCACCACCCCGAGCCCAGAGAGTCGGTTCGACTTTTCTGCGATGATGATAACCCACCCTCATTTGTGATTGGCTGAACGCCGTGGGTCAGCCACACGCAGGCTGTCAGAGGGGAGAACACCCCATCTGGTGATTCTCTCCGCCTTTTCGGCGGATCACCCTCCCCACCGCACACTCGAAGAGCAACAGAGGGATTCCGTCTCTTGTTGTGTAAACAGTGAGGAACAGCAACCTCCTCTCCCGCCTCCTACTCTAGTCTAGACTCCAGATTCCAGGTGTTATGTGGATGCGGACGAGAAGGCATACGGACGGAAACGATCTCGAAGGCTGGTCTCGTGTACCTCCTCCTAAGCAGTCTTCCCGACGGGGTGCAGCTGCATTTGTGACTTCCACGCCGTTCCAGAAACCATCATTCGTCCGTCTCACGGAAACAGTTCCCTTAGCCCTAAATCCGTGACGACTCTCCTTAGCCTAGAATCTCGTATGTCCTTCGATCCCTATCTTTATCGTATCGCGATTAGCAACGATCATGGCCGAAACGTTCGGCCATGGCCATCCGTTCGATCTAATGGAAGCCCTAGAAGAGGCGGAGCTCACAGGAACCGCCCATCGGACTCATAGCGCCACGGCCTGGGATCCTAACGCCTGGGAATGGGACAGCCTTATGCTGTTACCGCACCCCGCCGGCACGAGCCTCCCCACTTCCACCACCGAATCCTCCTACTTTCCGCTTGCACTGTCCAATACCCAACCGCACCACGAGGCGCAGCAGGACTCCCCGTTAAACTCCCAATCGCAAGCATTCCCTTCCCTGTTGGAATCCGCTGCGCACGCCTTATCCGCTAAGAACCCCGACGCGGATCTCGCAAACCCCGCGGGGCTATTCCCGCAGCTCGATCTAGCCGTCAGTAGAGGCCTCGCGCTGCTAACAGGCGACGACGACGCGCTACAAGTAGGAGAAACGGCCGGCCTTGGCCCTAAGCGAAAGGACCAGCCGCCAACCGCGGCGGATTCCGATTGCCCTAATTTTAGAGCCGGTAGAGTGCCGTGCGAATGCACGCAGGCCGACGCGCAGCTCGCAGTTAAGCGCCAGCGATTCCACGGCCGCGGAGGACCGTTCCCAGGCGCGCGCGCGTCGTCAGGGCGCAAGGGGGATAAGGGCGCGCGGAAGCGCGGAGCGGATGCGGAAGGGGCGGGGTCGCAGGCGACGGGGGGATCGGGTAGCCTGCGATGCCAAGTGGACGGCTGTGATGTGCTGCTGTCGACCCTGCGCGAGTATCATCAACGGCATCGGGTGTGCGAGGCGCATGCGAAGGCGGGATCGGTGGTGCATGAGGGCATTGTGCAGCGCTACTGCCAGCAATGCGGCCGGTACGTCTCCTCGCTACTTCTTCTCCCCTGCCCATAACCTCTTCCCCACTCGCCTCCCGTTTTCCCCTCTCCCTCTCCCCGCCGTTCCCCTTGTTTGCTTCTCCTTCTGCGGCAGCCCTGCGGATAGCTTCAAGTTGCAACCTCCACCTAAGTTTCCGCTACCACGCGCAATTCTCCTTTCTTTCCTCGCCTCCATGGCTTCTTTCCCACCGACACCGTCCCCCGCAGGTTCCATCCCATCGGCGATTTCGACGAGGCTCGTCGCAGCTGCCGTCGCAAGCTGCAGCGACACAACAACTTGCGAAAGCACAAGGCGCTCAAGCCGCCCACTCCCGCCGCTTTCCCCCTCCCGCCGTCCCCGCCCAACACGACCGCGGACGAGCGCGCGTCGCCGGAGAAAAGCAGCAGTGGCGGAAGCGGAGGCGACGGCGCTGGCGGAGAAACTGGCGCGGCGTCGGGGGAGGCGGAGACTAAGCGGAACGTTGCCGTGGAGGCTTTAAGAGGGCGGGCGAGCGACGGGATTGCCCGTGGCGGAGGGGGAGAGAACGGACCCAAACTGCGGCACGAGGGGGATTTCCAGGGAGAAAGGGTGGGCGGTGAGAGGAAGGTCGGGAGGGCGATGGGGGTGCGGGAGGAGGGGGAGGAGGTGAAGCAGAAGCTGTCTCTGGTGGCGGACGGCGCGGTGTCGCCGCATGGCGCGCATGCCGCTCGTAAAGCGCGCGAAACATGCAACGAACATGAGGCTCACGGCGTTCTTAACGCGGACGCGTCTGCGTCTGCCTCTATGCACAGCGACACTGGGGACAGCAACGGCGACGCGGGCACGAGGCGTGCTCTGGGACTGGCGCGAGGGAATGGGGACGGTGGAAGCGCTGCTGCTGACCCACCTGGTGCTTCTCCTACTGCGCCTGTTACTGCTACGCGCACGCCGCCTTCTAACATACCAATGGCTCGATTCGCTCCGCCTCCCCCTTCTCCCGCGTCTCGCTCCCTCGCCGGACCTCTTTCCTTCGCTCCCTTTACCCCTTTCCCCGTTCCTCCCCCCCAACCTATCTCCGACCCCGCGTGCCCCGCCCGCACGCCCGCGGCGGCGCCTCCCGGCGCCTTGCGCCAAGCCCCCGCAGTTTCCCCCACGCGTGCGCCCACGCCCCTGCTGTCGCTCCCAGTCCTGCGGGACCGCGCAGGGGCACGCCAGGCTGATGCTCCGGCTGCTACAGGTGCTACTGCTCCTGCTGCTGCGGCTCCTCTTCCTTCTCTTCCTCCTGCTGCCGCCGCTGCTGCTGCTGTAGCTGTTGCTGGTGTTGGTGCTGGCAGCGACGTGAGCGGTGCGCCAGGGAACGCGTCGTCTCTTGCTCCACCTGTTGTCGTCGCTCTGCCCTTGCATGACTATTCGCTGCCTCGCGTGGCCCGCGGTGGCGGCGGAGGTGAAGGAGAAGGAGGAGGAGGAGTAACAGGAGGAGCAGGGGAACGAGAAGGAACGACAGCAGCTGTTGCAGAGCAGGCAGAGGGTGCTGTGACAAGACCGGGGAAGCTACCGCCTAACACGCGCATGCCAGCAGCAGCGGCAGCGGCATCAGCAGGAGCGGTGTTTGGAAACGGCGCGGCGACGAGCAGCAAGCAGCAGGCGAGCGGAGCGGAGGGGGAGAGGGAGTGCGCGGGAGACAGGGAGGGCGAGGGGTCGACAGGCATAGTCGCGGGGCAAGAAGGCGCAGGCGGAAGCTGCGCGGGTAGCGCGCGGGAGAGGGCTGCGGGGAAGCCGCGGAAGGAGGGTAAGGGGTCGATGGTCGGGGGGAAAGAGCCGGGGGGAGCGGGGAGGGAGGGATGCGCGGGGATGGGGAGTGGGTCTATGCAGGGAGTGGTAGGGTTACCAGCTAGTGCCGCAGGTCCCCAGGGACCTCATAAAGGCATGGGTATGGGAATGGGGGGCATGGGCATGGGTATGGGTATGGGGATGGGCATGGGAAACATGCCTATGGCGATGGGCATGGGCATGGGTCCGTATGGTATGGGGATGCCCCCGTATGGCATGCCTATGGGTATGGGCCCAGGGATGGGAATGAGCATGCTACCTGGTATGGCCATGCCCATGGGTATGGGCATGGGGATGGGGATGGGGATGGGAGTAGGCATGGGCATGAACATGGGAAATCCGATAGGGGGGATGCCGGGTGAGCATCCCATGCCACCAGTGCCTATGGGTATGGGCATGGGAGCCATGGGTCCGGGCATGAGCATGGTTCCTGGTGTGGGCATGGCAGCGTTTCCAGGCATGGCCATGCCGCATGGTCATGGGTACATGCGCGCACATGCTGCTCCGGGTCATGGGCGTGCGCCTGGCACGAGTATGGGTGCAAGCGCAATGCATGTAGCAGGCCCGGTTGGAGCAGGCGCAGCAGGAGCAGCGGGAGGAGCTGGGGCGGGAATGGGAGCAGGAGCCTCTGTAGCAGGGGCGACAGCAGGAGCGGCATCAGAGGCAATGGCGGCAGCATCAGCGGCTGCACAGTCAGCATCACAATCAGGCCCAGTTGAGGGTGCAGAGAGGGAGCGGGCAGCGGGTGGCAGGGCAGTGCAGGGCACGAGCGAGTCGAGCGGAGGAAAGGAAGCCCACTCATCTGTGGTAAAGGCCGCGGGTGGATTCACTGCCGACGAGGTGCTATCTGGTGCAGGCGATATGAGCATAAGCGCGCAATCCGGCTCACCTGCCCCTGTTCCTCCAACTGTCGCTGCTCTGTCTGCTCCATCCGCTCCAGCTGCTCCCGCTGCTCCGCCTGCCCCTGATGCTGCTGCGCCTCATACTGCTGCTGCGCCTGCTGCGCCCACGGCTGCACCTGCAGGCTGCTGCAAGTCCGCTCGTGACCCCTCTGCTCTCCGCCCCATGCCCCTGCGCGCCTCCCCCTCCGTCTCTCCGCTCTCCTCTGATGGGGACGCTGTGGGCAGGACGAAAGAGGGGAGGAGCGCGGATGAGGCGTCAGGGGAGGAGAGTGAGGGGCGGAAAGAGGGGAGGGGGGAGGGAGGACAGAGTCCAGGTGAGGATGGGCGGCTGGCGTCGTGGATGGAAGCTTGCTTGACTTGCGCAGATGGCAATGGGCGGAGTGAGGTTGGGAGGGATTTGAAAGTGCTGGGAGGGGTGGTGGGGAACGGATGCTGCTGTGGTGGGGAAGGTGGTGAGGGGGGGAAGGTGGAGGAGGGAGGGAGCAGAAAAGAAGAGGGAGTGGAAGGGGTGAGGAGAGGTTGCAGAGAGGTCAGATGTCAGGAGGAGGAGGAGTCCCAGCAAAAGCAGCAAGAACAGCAGCAGCAGGTGAAGGGGCGAGGGCAGGGGATGGAGAAGCAGCAGCAGTCGGAGGGTGAAAGGCAGACGAAGCAGGGGTCAGCGCAGGGCGAGCAGAGAGAAGGGGTGGTGGCGGGCGACGAGAGCGCAGGGCGAGAGAGGGCAGGGGAGCAGCACCAGCGCACGGGGCGCATCTCCCTGAAGCTGTACGACTGGAACCCAGGGGACTTTCCCCGCCACATTCGAAACCAGGTGCGCTGCCTTGCCTTGTCCTCCTCCTCCCACCTGCTCTGCTCGCACTTTGCACTCTCACATGCCTGCATGCCAGCATGCCACCATGCCACCATTCCTGACATGCCATGCCATGCCTTGCCATGTCATGTCATGCCATGTCATCCCTGGGTAACAGGATGCCATTTGATGCCATAATACCATATGACCTCTTCCCACTACCTTTTTCCCCAACCCTCCTCCTGCTCCCCTGCCACCCTATCTCCCTTCCCTCGGGAGCAGATATTGGAGTGGCTGTCGTGCATGCCATCGGACCTGGAGGGGTACATTCGCCCCGGCTGCACGCACCTCACTCTCTTCGCGCGCCTGCCCGCCCACGCGTGGTCTCAGGTGAAACCGCCTTGCTGCAACCGCCTTACTGCAGATGAGTTTTTCTTGGTTCACTGCTGAAGCACATGGGCACTGCCGGGTGCTTCACTGGTGAAGCACAAGGAAAGCCACTCGTGTCACACCAGCCATCTGATCTGTTCTCTCATCGTGCTCTGCTGCCTGTGTTGTCCCCTGTGCGTACTTGCTCATGGCTCCTTCTCTGCTTCGTTTCCCCTTTTCACCCTTATCCCCTCTTCCCCCTCGCCTCTGCATAACAGATGGAGAAGCAACCCTCGCCATTCCTCGACACACTGCTCCACCCCTCTCAACCACTCTCGCTCCACTCCTCCTCGCATTCCTCCTCCGCTTTGCCTCCCTCCGCCCTCGCGCCCTCCTCGGCTGCATGGTGGTCAGTGGGGTGCATGGCTGTGCAGCTGGGATCGCACACCATGCAGCAGCGCCTGCTGGTGGACCATGGTCAGTGCAAGACTGCATGGGTGCATGGGCGCATGGGCGCATGGGTGCACAGACGTCCTACCACACGGTCCCTGCTTCTGCCCATGCGAGTGTCTGCTACGGTCCTTATTGTTTTAACTGTATTTTGACTCGCCATCCAACCCCCCTGACTCACTCCTCCTGGTCCCGTGTTCCCGTGTCCCGTGGTCCCGTGTTCACGTCATCGCCTCTTGTCTTGTGCCACACCCGCCCTCTTCACCCTCCTGGTTCCACCATACAGGAGTCATCCGTGCCTCCACACAGCTCTACCCCTCACCATCCGCCCCTCTCCTGCATCGCCCGCGGGGCCTCCTTGCACTTCCGCTCTCCGCCTCGCCTTCCCGCTTGGTCCTGCGAGCGTCGAACCTGCCTGCTGCCGCTAGGTGAGTTGCCATCAGGAAAGGTGCGACCTGCCTGTTTCCCTGCCGTCAAAGCATGTACGGATTCCAAATTCACAGGCATATGTAGAGATAGCTTCCATGTAGACTCGTGCCCTCTCTTTCTCTCTCACAGCTATGGCATGTGCCCCTTCAGTTCTGCTCCTCACTTGCCCTTTTCCTCGGGAACCTGATAGCGAACCTGATGGGGAACCTGATGGGGAACCTGATGGGGAACCTGATGACGAATCTGATAGCGTCTAGCGTCTAATGGTGCGTCTTGCATCTAGCGTCTAGACGCCACCGTCTAGAGTCTTCCGCAACTAAGCTCAACCCCCACCCCTCCTTCTTCCCCCCAACCATCCCCCACTCTTTTCTCTCCTTTTTCCTTTGACTCCTTTCTTGCTGCTTCCTTTCCTGTTCCTTCCTTTTGTTCTGTGCTGCAATCAGGGTGCTCTGCTCTCTCGCCGGACGTTACCTCGTCAACACTGCCACTCACTCGCACACACAAGCGACACAAGCCCACTATGGGGGCAGGTTTAACCATGCCGGGGAGACGGGGGAGATACGGGACAAGAGACAGCTGCAGGGAGAGGAGGAGGAGGAGCAAGAGGAGGAGGATGAGGAGGAAGAGGAGGAAGCGGAAGAGGAGGAGGAGGAAGAGGAGGAAGGGGCAGAGGAGATTTCTGTTGTTGTTCCTCCTCTGACTGTGTGGGGCACGCTTCGTGTTGAGGTATGGCAGAGAGGAAGTGTAGATCCAACAGATGGTGCATTGCAGTGAGGGAGCAGTGCACAGCACTCTGCCTGCTTTCATCCTTCTGCCAACTTCACCACCGCGACTACTGCCATCTAGTCATGCTGCTTCATTCTCTCTGTGTCCCTCAAGGCAGCAAACTGCATTCTGTCCCCTGACCCCTCACTCTCTCTCCCTCACCTCACCCTCCTCTCTCCCCCATTTTTTCTCCATCTCTCCTCCTCTCCTCACGTCCCACTTCCCTCCCTCCCGAATTCCTGTTCTCCATGCCAGGTGGAAACGTCAGCTGGGCTGTCTCAGCCTCTGCCCCTGCTCGTGGCCCCTGCACCCATCTGCACCGAGCTGCACTCCCTTCTCTCGCCCTCCGCCTCTCCTCCCTCACTCCTCGCCATTCTTCCCCGTGTAGCCCCTCCTTTGTTCACCCCTCCGCTACAATCAGCCCCAGCAGCATTAGCAGCAGTAGCTGCAGTGTTTTCAGACATGTCTCGGCTTGCAGAGATGCTCACATGGGGTGGTGTGTGTCGCTGCCATGACTGCAAATGCGGTCTTGGATCATGTACTACTGCTGTCGCTGCCACCCCTGCTACCGCCCCTGCTGCCGTCCCTGCCACCCCTGCTGCCGTTCCTGCTGCTTCTGCCGCTGACTCAGAGTTGCTTGTAGGAAGAAATAGTGTCCCTCATGGTGGGTGCAGGCGTTTGGGCGGTGCGAGGGAGAGCAGTCATGCAGGGGAGGGGGATGGGGAGGAAGGTGATGAGGTGATGAGGGATGGGGCCAGTGAGATGGATGAGGGGGAACAGCAGGAGCAGCAGGAGCAGCAGGAGGAGCAGGAGGAGGAGGAGGAGCGGCAAAAGCAGGAGGCGGAGGAGGAGGCGGTGGTGAGTGAGTGGGTGGAGGACATGGGATGGGTACTGCGCAAGCTCACCCTGCCCCTGCCTCAAGCATCAGCAGCCGTGATGAATGTGCAGGAAGAAGTGATTCGCATGCACCGCCTGCTCGCCCACGCTGTCACACACGGGCTGCTCGCCACCTCCTCTGCTCTGCTGCACTGGACTGCCCGCCTCGCTATCATCGCTGCTTCCCATGCCACTTCTCCGCCCTCCTCTGCGCCCCCTGCTGCTGCTACCACGGCCGCCGCCCCAGCTTCTGGTGGAGAGGCTACTGGTGCTGCTGGTGCCACGGGTGTTGCTGCTGGACCAGGAGTGACTGCTGCTCGTGCGCGCAGGGAGGCAATGGAGGGCGTTGTGAGGGCGGCGGGGTGGGAGGAAACGAGTGGGTGGTCTCTGCTGCACGTGGCAGTGGCTTTGGGGAATGAACCGCTGGTGGCCCTGCTGCTGAGGTTCGGCCGGGGAGACATGGGCCGCGGCGAGCACAGAAGGACCAGCAGCAGTGTTGATGGCATTCAGAGCAGCACTAGTGGTTCTGGACGCTCATTATTCGGAGTTGGCGTGGAGCAAATGGTGCTGCGTGTAACGTCTGATCCAACAACAGCAGCACCATCACCGTCACATGCACCACCGCCGCTCCACCACCGACCGTCCTCCACCTCCTCCTCCTCCTCATCCGTCCGGCCATGCTCTCTCGCAACGAGTCCCCCCTGGTGGTCGCCAGTGGCAGCAGGGGCGGGAGGAGTGACGGCCCTGCACGTGGCTGCGCGCCTGGCAGCTCTGCCCCCAGCTAACTCGTGTGGGTGTGGACAGCTGAGGCTCAGCGACGCACAGAGGGCTGCAGCAGCACGCATTGCTGCCATGCTGCAGGCGTACCTTCTCCCCCATGAGGTGCCCATTCCCCCAACCTTCCCATCTTCCCAATCTACCCCATCCTCCCCATCCTCCCCATCCTCCCCATCCTCCCTCCCATCCTTCCCTCTCATGCATACTCTGTTTGCTCCACGTGCTCCTGTGCTTACCCACTCCCATCCATCCACTCGCTTGTTGAGCAATGCTTGCTGCATGGTTGTGAAACTTTGCAAGCATAGTGAATCTTCGCACAGATGTGAGCCTGCATGGTTGTGAATTGTTGCACATGTGCGTGTGTGCATGGCAGGCTGTCTGGTGGGGCGCTAACGCATCTATCGTCACGCAACAACCAGCAGCACCATCCTCATCGCATGTTGAAACGCCCTCCCGATGTGGCTGTGCGTGTGCTTCCACTCTCCTCCCACACCCATCCCCATCCCCGTCAGCAACCCCATCCCTCTCCTCCTCACTCCCTCTCCTCTCCTCCGACCAAGCCTGCTGCTGTTCGTCCACCCCCCTCACCCCGCCTCCTCTCCCCTCCTCCTGCTGCACTCCTCCTGGAAAAGCGGCTGCATTGCATCTCCCTTTTCCACAGCCCCCATCTTATCACTCCCCCACAGCATTGCACGGTCAGCAAGCACCCACACCAGCAGAAGAGTCATCGGCACAGCACCTGGAAGAGCCTGTGGTAGCACCACAGTCCATATCTACGGTTCAGCACACAGCAGAGCAAGCTGCGCCCAAGCTCATGTCTGCTCTGCCTCCTAGGGGTTGCTGTGGGCCGGCTAGAGGGCAGGCAGCAGCTGAAGAGAGAGGCAGTGAGGGTAGTCATCGGGAAGGAACTGTCAAGCCGTGCTGCAGCAAAGGCCGCAGCATCAGCGGTCGTGATTTCAGCGGGGATGGAAAAGCTGGTAGTAGCGCCGCAGTGTGTTGCTCACACTTGCAGGTGACTTGCTCTTCTGCACGGCCTGCTGTTGTGGAGGGTGCTGGGAGGGATAAAACGTTGCAGAAGTGTTCAGCAGAGGAGGAAGCATGCAGAAAGGCTGACCTGCTCGCAGACAGAAACGGGCGCAGGAGGGGCGAAATGATGCAGTTGTGTGCATCAGAAGGAACAGAGACGGTATCAGGGGAGGAAGCAGTGAATGCAGACTTATCACAAGTACAGGGTGCCTGTGCCACAAATACAGTGGCAATTGCAGGGTGGACTGAGAGGGCTCGCAAGAGGCAGAGGACAGAAAGAGCGGCAGGGCGGTGGGGTTTCCGGGGGGTAAGCAGGACACTGCTCCCTGTGTTGGCAGTGGGTCTGGTGACGTGCGCCTCTCTCACCTTCTGCTAGGCACACTCGAGTTACCCTCCACTACTGCTGCTGCTGCTGCTGCTGCTGCTGCTGCTGCTGCTGCTGCTGCTGCTACGCACACTGCTGGAGCAGCACTTGCACCTGTACGTCATCTTGGCTCTACGTCTGCGCTTGTCATGAGCTTTGTTTGTGCCTTGGGTTGGTGGCACCCCTTGGTTTCTGTTATAATGGCTGTGCTCTTGCTCGTCTCCAGGGCCCAAAATATCAGGGTAAAATGCCCTGATTACCCTGGGGGCCGGCCGTTTTTTCAGAGTTACCCTTTCAAAATCAGGCTTCCAAGATTTTTTCCCTTACGCAAAAAGAGTATGTTTTTTTTTACACTGATAGCGATTTCGGCTACCCTGGCTGTATCAGGGTGCGCTGTACATTACACTGATACAGAATCCTCTGTAGCGAGGATTTTCGTTGCGAAATGGCAAAACTGATCCAATCGTCCACAGGACTTGAACCCGCCACCTTGAGATCTGAATCTGCACATATAACCAACTGAGACAGTTTTGTATTGATTGTAGCTTGTGTCTATTATTAGACTAGACTCGCAAAACACCCCTTAATCGAGCCACACCACTGCCAGCTGAGCAGAGTTGCGCGTCAAGGACAGCTTCGTGCTACTTTATTGTTACTGTAGAAATTACTAGTAGTGAAAACAGACTAGATATAGAATTACCCTGCCGAAATCAGTGTAATGGTAGATTTACCCTGCTGCCAACAGGGTACGGAAAATTTTACCCTAGGGGTCTGTTCAAGGAGGGGCTGTTACCCTGATTTGTAAGGGTAGGCCAAAACCAATTTTGGGCCCTGCTCGTCTCCCTTCCGTAGTTGGTCTTTTGATCCATACACGTAGCTGTTCTCTTTGCTGTTTTATGGGTGGTTCCATTGCTGTGGTATTTTGTTGAACTTGTTTCTTGTGCCGTATGTAGGTAGCAACGTGGTTAGTTGAAAAATGGCTATGCTTTGAAAAATGTTGTCTATATTTTTTGTCTCGCCGCAACCATAATCAGCTGAATCAAGGTAACGGCACAATGCATCGGATATCAAAAGCATAAATCCTTCACATATACCATGTATACAGATGCGGGGCCACACATGCATGATGTGTTTGAAATACTATTTCAAGCTGGCGCAGCTTACAGACAGCATGGCACAGCACACAGCATGGCACAGCACACAGCATGGCTCAAAACACAGCATGGCACAAAACACAGCATGGCTCAAAACACAGCAAGGCACAGCACACAGCATGGCTCAAAACACAGCAAGGCTCAAAACACAGCATGGCTCATAACACAGCATGGCACAGGACACAGCTTGGCACAGCACACAGCTTGACACAGCACACAGCTTGGCAAAGCAGAATGCATGGCACAGCACAGAGCAGGCAACAGGCAGCATCAACGCCATAGGGCTCATCATATGCCACCAACCAAGTACGAGCATCATGCTCTCATGCAACAGGTGGCATCAGTGCCATACGGCTCATCATATGCCACCTACCAAGTACGAGCATCATGCTCTCATGCAACAGGTGGCATCAGTGCCATACGGCTCATCATATGCCACCTACCAAGTACGAGCATCATGCTCTCATGCAACAGGTGGCATCAGTGCCATACGGCTCATCATATGCCACCTACCAAGTACGAGCATCATGCTCTCATGCAACAGGTGGCATCAGTGCCATACGGCTCATCATATGCCACCTACCAAGTACGAGCATCATGCTCTCATGCAACAGGTGGCATCAGTGCCATACGGCTCATCATATGCCACCTACCAAGTACGAGCATCATGCTCTCATGCAACAGGTGGCATCAGTGCCATACGGCTCATCATGTGCCACCCAAGGGGACTCAGTCCCTTTCACACACTCAAGAGCATCACACTTCCATGCAAGGGTGGCGTCAGTGCAACTCATCATGTGCCCCCAACCAGC